TTCTGGGGGGTCCCGGGGGTCGGGGAGGGGGAGGAGGGGGAGGAAGGCTCCGAACCTCCAGGGAATCCACCAGGTCCTCCACCAGGAAGAGGTGCACGAGCAGCTGCAGGGCCCGGTTGAGGTGCCGCGCCACCACGGCCGCGTGCGCCTGGAAGGTCTCGGGGGACAACGTCACGTCCAGGTCCAGGTACGCCCTGGGGAGGGGGCACGCGTCAGGGGGGACCCCAAACCCCCCCGAACCCCAATAGCTGCGCCCGCACCCCAAAGTTTGGGTCTGAATGTTAAAATCCATCTCTGTCCTCCAAGCTCTGGAAGGTGTCGGGGACGGGGTCGGGTCTGGGGCAGAGTTGGGGTGGGGACGCCCCAAAATCCCCATGCACACCCCAGAATCACTTCTCACACCCCAAAATCCCAATCTACACCCCAAAATTGCAATCTACACCCCAAAATTGCAATCTACACCCCAAAATCTCTCTCCTCACACCCCAAAATTCCCATGCACACCCCAAAATCACTTCTCACACCCCAAAATCCCCATCCACACCCCAAAATTGCAATCTACACCCTAAAATCTCTCCTCTCACCCCAAAATCCTCCTTCACACCCCAAAATCTCTCCTCACACCCCAAAATTCCTCCTCACACTCCAAAATCCTCATCCGCACCCCAAAATATCTCCTCACACCCCAAAATCTCTCCTCACATCCCCAAAATTCCTGCTCACACCCCCAAAATCCCCATCCACACCACAAAATCCCTCCTCACCCCCCAAAATCCCTCCTCACACCCCAAAATCTCTCCTCACACCCCCAAATCCCCATCCACACCCCAAACCCCCCCGAACCCCAACCCTTCCCTGCCCGAAGCAGCAGCCAGGCCACCCAGCGCGTCCCCCCGCGGTGCCACCGCTGTCCCCAAGCGGGGCTGGCTGTGTCCCCAGACCCCCCAAACCCCCCCGGGGGGACCCCAAACCCTCCTCACACCCCCAAATCCCCATCCACACCCCAAACCCCCCCGAACCCCAACCCTTCCCTGCCCGAAGCAGCAGCCAGGCCACCCAGCGCGTCCCCCCGCGGTGCCACCGCTGTCCCCAAGCGGGGCTGGCTGTGTCCCCAACCCCCCCAAACCCCCCCGGGGGGACCCCAAACCCCCCAAACCCCCCAAAGCCCGCTCACCTGAAGGGGTGCCCCTCCTCGGATTTCTGCAGCGCCTGCACCACGGCCTTGTAGACGCGCAGGCTGATGGTGACCGAGAGCAGGGCCAGCGCCACGTGTGCCACCACGGTGACGGCGCTGAGCGTGGCCAGCGACAGCAGCAGCACCAGGCTGGCGCCGAAGGCCACCGCGCTCTTCCTCACGTCCCGCCAGAACAGCAGGTCCTGCACCGCTGGGGACAGCGGGGACAGCGCGGTCACACGGGGGGACACAGAGGGGGACACACGGGGGGACATGGAGAGGACACAGAATGAAGATAAGGGGGACAAGGAGGGGACAAGGAGGGGACAAGGAGGGGACATGGAAGGGACACAATGGGGACACACAGGGGAACGTGGAGTGGAAATACAGGGGGACAAGGAGGGGACACAGAGGAGGACACGGGGTGACAAGGCCAGGTCACAGGGGGTGACAAGTCGGGGACACAGGAAGGACAAGGAGGGGACACAAGGAGGACACAGAGAGTGCCAAGGACAGGTGACAAGGAGGGGACACAAAGGTGACAAGGCCAGGTCACAGCGGGTGACAAGGAGGGGACACAGGGAGGACAAGGAGGGTCACAGTTGTCCCCCACCCCAATTTCACCCAAACCGAGCCCGTTGCCGCCTTCCCTCTCCCTCCACTAATTACCCTCGCTCATTAAACCAGTCCCTTCATTACACACAGCCCCTAATTACACCCCCCCCTACCCAAACCAGGTGCTAATTAACCCCCTCCCCCGTGTGCCGGCGGGTTTGGCCCCAAATCCCAGGATTTCACCCCAAACACGGCGCTGCTGAGCCTCCCTCCCTGCTCTCCCCGTTCCTTCTCTTTTTCACCCCAATTTTGGGTCCATCACAGCCCCCCCTCCCTCCCCCCCGGTGCTTTCGGCGCCGTTTTGGGGTGGAAAAGGAACTTTTTGGGGCTTTACCTGCCAGGCGGGGGAGGGGCTCCCCCAGTTCCTGCAGGGTCTGGTGCTCCTGCTGCCAGCGCCGGGGGGCGGCGGGGAGGGACCCGGGGACAGCGGGGACATCCTTGGGGACAGCCCCGGGGACATCCTTGGGGACAGCAGGGACAGCCCCGGGGACAGTGGGGACATCCCTGGGGACATCCTTGGGGACAGCGGGGACATCCTTGGGGACATCCTTGGGGACATCCCTGGGGACAGCAGGGGGGGCCTCGCCCGGCGCCTCCTCGATGACGGTGTCGTCAGAGTCACCGGAGCTGTCGGCGTCGGCGGGGACAGCGGTGACACCGGTGGGGACAGCGGAGATGCCACTCCCTACGCCAGGGACACCGCTGGGGACACTGCCAGTGCCAGCGAGGCCATTCCCAGCGGCACTGATGTCGCTCTTGACGGCCGGGGACAGCGGTGACACCGGTGGGGACAGCGGAGATGCCACTCCCTACGCCAGGGACACCGCTGGGGACACTGCCAGTGCCAGCGAGGCCATTCCCAGCGGCACTGATGTCGCTCTTGACGGCGGGGACAGCGGTGACACCGCTGGCGGTGGTGGTGACGCCACTCCCGATGCCACCGAGGCCACTCC